TATATACGATTTTATGCTGATATAATTTTAAACATACTTTTTTATATATGCTATTATAATGTAGTTTTATTTGTATTTTAATTGATATCGTAGGACCTGCCTGAAAATCACCTTGTTGTGAGTGTAGCTTCCTACTGAAATACTGTCAATAAGATCATAAGATCATTATTTAATTTAAGATCATTATTTAATTTGACCGAGGACACCGCTGGTGTTTCAACAATATCATAAAGAGAGGTATCATCGGCATAAAGAAAAACGGACGTTTCAAGATTTTCAGTAATATCATTGATATAAATCAAGAAAAGCAACGGACCAAGAACAGAGCCCTGAGGAACACTAGCTTTTATGTTTTTCCATTCAGAAAATTGACCATCAATAACGACTCGCTGTTTAAGATTAGTTAAATAGCTTCTGAACCAACTTAGCAAGGGGTCTCTAACACCAATTTTTTCAAGTTTATATAACAGTCCCTTATGCCACACTTTGTCAAACGACTTGCTTATATCAAGAAATACCATCCGAACTTCTCTGCCCCGTTCTAGAGCATCATAGATCTTATGAACAAGACATCTTAATTGATTAACAGTAGAATCACCTGGTCGAAAACCTGACTGCAATGGATTTAAAAAAATTATTTCCAACTTTTCAAGTATTTTGTAAAAAAATCATAAAGGAAATGATTGAAATATTAAAGTTTATAGTATTTCAAGCTTTTAAATATTCAATGGCTTAAATACAAAAACAAACATTTTTCAGAAATTAGCTATTTTGCTTGCCCTCTTAGGGTGGGGGTAGAAACATTGCATCAGTCTGCTACTTAGTGAGTTAAAAAGCACTTTTAGCATACCTGAAGTGTTGTTTTTTAATTTACATGATCAGTTGATTGCCACATTAATAAGACCTTTCAAATTTCATGGGTTTCTATTGTTAGCATGGGTTATAATTAACATCAACATGGAGTCTTTGCAGCAGTATAAAAGTTCTTCGGACAGTGATTTTCATGACGAGCTAAGCACTCTGCAATTAGTTTGCCAAGTATACTTGGTCACATACATCCCAGGTTGATACCATCAAGTTTCCAATGAGAAAATTATTTGCCAAGGCTGTTGTCTTATCGAGGCACAACTACATCTGTTGTTCACTGTGGTGTTGTTCCCAGGAAAAGCATAAGAAGCATTCTGCACTTAGCCAATGTTGGTTCCGGCCAAGAAATTATTACAAGATATGTACGGCACTTTCCAAATGTGCACAAGAATTATTAAACCACATAGTGCTATGTGACGAAAGAATATGAAAATTATGAGCAAAGCAAACTGCAGCCAGATCTCTCCATGAGATCATTACCAACACATGGGATATAAAAAATGCAGAGGCAGGGGCGGATCCGGACCGATGCCAACAATGCGAATGCATCGGTCAAAATTGAGAAATCATGTTGCTTGAAATAATATATAGACATATTATGCTGTCGTCAATACAATACACTATTTAGGATGAAATCCAATTTAAATAGTCTAAATAACAGTCGAAATTATCAAAATAAGTCCAATATGCGACGTGCGATCGCAAATGTGTACTTTTTGTTATTTAATTTTCATTTTGCGACGCTTAAGCGTCAATAATTTTGCGACAGAATATGGTATTTTTTACAACATCCTTGACGTCACAGTAGAAAGCTGATGCATCACCTACATCACAGTAGATTTGGTTTGCATCGATTTTCAGCCATTTTGCATCAGTGAATGCATCGGTCCCGAGTCCTTTTCCGCGTGAAATCTACTGTGACATCATCAAATCTATTGTTTTAGAGCCCTACGTCACGGTAGATTTGTCCGCTGAGCGATGCATCGCATGCAGATTGCAGGCGCTCGCATCAGTTCACTGATGCCAATTGCAAAATCAAAATCTACTGTGACGTAACGAGGCATTCGATTCAAGTCATGGCGGCAAGGATATGCAAACACTATATGCAAATGAGACAAATAATGGGAAGAAATATCACTCGAAATTGACGGAGAAAACTGAGAACAAATTACCGAATTAATTACCAAGGCTTGGAATGAATCTAATCTTTCATCTGAGTACAAGAATTGAATTATATTTATACTGTGAGATGCCCACTATGTGAAACTCGAACTGAGGGCTCCCTAAAGTAAGTGAAATTTATCTATATTTTACATTGTAGTTCATTGTTCAGTTCAAGAAGTGTATAAAGTGGAAAATGGGCTCCACAGTTAATGCAGATTTGTTTGTATTAAATAATCAATTTCAGCAAAGCTATAAATTGCGGTTAATGGAGTAATATGTTCTGAAGGCTCTATCTGCCTGAGGGTGTTTCAGTCTCCCAACGCATCTGCGTCACAACAATTAATCCGTACCAGGTACGTACAAGGTCCAAGTACCTTGGCAGAACAAGGGAACCGTTTTCTAGCCCTGTTAATATTACAAAATATCTGATAAATATCGAACTTTGGCTGCTAAGCATGTGAACAACTGATGCAAACTTGGGATTAACCAATCAGAAATTATCCTGAAGGTTTTTTCCTTCACGTGCATATGTACAATGGCCCCCTCTTTGCGCAAGGACTTTTGATCGCAATGTCGACGTGCACTGCTCATTCGCAAGACTTTAGCCAGTGCGTTAACATCTCTGGCAAAATTTTTGGCTAAAATTTAAGGGACCAAACCTTGGCAAAGAAGTGGAAATTTAAAAAAACCCAAAACAACAGACCAATCTTGGAACAAATGGCAAAGCAATGCGCAAGATCACAAGTCCAAGGACGACGCAGTTTCCCTGAGATGCACAAGATCCCATGCATGCAGTGTTCCAGAACCAGACTGTTGCCGCTTGCAATCCACGTTCTGTGACCTCAAACGGAGTGAGTTCGTTCCAAATTTTTTTTTTTACTTCTCTAATATAACGTTCTTGAATTTACTGCTATATTACACTATTAATATATAACTTTATCTCGCTCTTCTGCTGTCCAACATGAGTCACAATTTGTATTGTATTAGTACGCTATGCATTCGCGCCTACTCACGGTTACATGCTATCCTATTATCTCCAGTTGCATGCTATTGCTACTTTGTTTAATTTAATACCATACAAACAAGACACGTAATTAACTGCATATTTAGATTAATATTGTATGCGAACTTGTGTCGCATCCGCTATTCGCTCAGGCGGGAACTATTTTGGAATATCTTAGGCTAGATCTGTTATAACAGCTGTAATACAGCCTTATCGTACTGCTACTTTATACACACGAGTCA